ATTATTCGGCTGAAATTGAAAAAAGATTGTTTTTTTCTCTATGATATTTAAATGTATAAAGTATTATAAAAGACAATTAGAAAAAAAAAGAAAAAGAAAAAACTAAAATAAAGAAAAAAGAAAATGTTGAACACAACAGGAAGACAAGAATTGTTGTTTCCTCTTTTACATTAACACTTAGCCGACCATTGAATGACCCACAAAGACCTTTACAGTTTCCACCTTAATCGGGAAAGTCAAACTGCGCTCTTCATCCCGTGCATTTTTCTGAAGTAATGTTTTAGAAAATAATTTTATGTCTGGCAAAGACTCTATCGGAAATCCCGAAAATAAAGGAGCTGTAATAATGAGCAATGAAAGATTTCAAAAATTGATGCATTTTATTATATGTTGTATCCTATATGAAAAAGCTGTATAGAAAAAGAAGCGTTTCTCAGATGAAAAGGGTAGACTCTCAAGGGTAGATCTGCCCGAGCGGTCGGCTAAGTGTTAAAATAATGAAGAAGAGATAGGTAAGAAAAATAATAAAAAGAAAAAACAAGAAAATTAAGTTAATGTGATAGAATGATTGACCTTAGCTGTGGCAACGAAAGAATCAATCCTTCTTAACTGAGCGCGTGCTATATATTTAGAGGAAGTCGCAAAACTTTCTATTACACAGGTAGAATATACGAGGGTGATTTGGATGAAACGATTTTTCATTCTTTTTTTCTTTTTTATATAGATATGTTACAAATGATTTATGTTGAACGATACAATAATTCAAGGCTTAGAACAAACCCTTTTCTTTTATCCATAAATGATCAAAATTCAATTATTATATATATATATAAAACAGATTGAACGATTAAGGATTTATATTTTGTATAATTACGATAATTATCAATAATAGGGATGATTGATAGAAATAACAAAAAAAAACAATTGTATGATTTTTCTTGACAAAAAAATCTTTCATACAATCATCACCCTCATATTTATACGAATGTCGTCCGACGTATCATCATCCTCTCAGAAAAAGACCTCTGTTGCGTTGATCATTTTCACATTATTTGTTTTTTCGTTTTTTTTTTGTTTGTGGCACATTTTATTTCCGTCTTCTGGTTCTCGCTAGCTCTAATTTCGTTAAACGCAACAAATCACGCCATAAAACTCGTTAAAGCCGCAGACAGACGAATAAAATCGCACATCTCGGACCCAAACTGGCTCATATTATTATTATTATTTTTTTCTTTGGGGCCAGTTAAATATTACATACCCGTTATAATAAAATACACATTTACAATATTACGGTAACCATAGTCGCATAGATTCGACTTAAACGCAACGCTTAAAACACACTTACACTCGTTACACTTATTCAACATTCTCTCTCTTTCTCTCTCTTTTTTTTTTCTTCTTTTTTTCGTTCTTTCATTCTCTTTCTCTCTCTCTCTCTCGTTCTTACATATGTAATTATATATACAAGTTTCGAAAATTGATTAAGAGTTCTGATATCCCTCTCTCTCTCTCTCTCTTTCTCTCTTTCTCTTTCTCTCTCTCTCTTTTCGCACCATTTATAAAAAATTGTTATTCGTTTCATCGTAGACTTAATTTTAAACACTTTCCTCCTTGTGTCGTGTGTGTCCCCCTCCGACTCTTAAAATTAAGCTCATCCGACCTCAAGCCCTTCCACCCTTTCTTCTTCCTCTTCCTCTTCCTCTTCCTCTTCTTCTTCTTCTTCTTTTTCTTTCAATCTCTTCTCCTTCCTCTTCCTGTTCTTCCTTTAATCGTTAATTTTGTTCTCGAGCCTTTCACGATGATAATGATGATGTGTTGCAGCACTCTCGCTATCTATAATCGTGTACAACTATTTTAAAAATATCTCCGTAATCAATCATGTGGTCCATCACAGATTAGTTCCAAGTGTGTCGGAGGTTTACATATACATATACAACAACATCGTACAAGATGCTACGCTGTGCTATATTAAACGAAACAACAACAAAAAAAAAAGAAGAATATTAACAAACAAACAGCAGGACGAACAAAAAATTTCCATATACAAAACCACCAACAAATACGAACCAACAAACGAGCAAATAATAAATAATGAAATAAATAACAGACGTTTATATGCACACTTTCAAAGATTCTTCTTCTTCCTAGAATTAATTTTTCATTGGAAATTTTCGCGAAAGTACCGTTATTACATCGTTACAACGTATTTATTTAACAAGAGAGTTTTTTTTTTTAATTACTCATTCATTTCTCACCCCCTTTTTCTTTTTCTTTTTTTTGTCTTCCATTTTTTTTTTCATCTTTTTTTTTTCTTCTTCTTATTTTTATTCTATTTACACACACTTTCTTTCTTTTTTTCTCCCTCTCTCTCTCTCTCTCTCTCTCTCTCACACACTCTCATTCTCATTCTCTCTGTTCGTCTTTTTTATCATTTTTCTTTTCTTATGTTTTTCTTTTTTTTAAATATTATTACTTTTTTTTTTATATATTTTTTTTAAATATATTAACACACACAAAAAGAGACGAACACGCTCGCTCGCTCGCTCGCTCGTGTCTCAACGGATTCCCCTTCCTCAGATCGGCATCAGAATTTAATCATCTCGATGAATCCTCGAAAAAAAAAATCGTGCGCTTATTTGTAATTCATGATCTCGATTTTAGAAAGAAAAAAAAAAGAAGAAGAAGAAAAACAATCATACAACTCCGTTGTGTTTTGTTAATATTATCATAATAATAATATTAATAATAATTTAATAATAATAATAGCAATACGCAAATATGTATATATATATATATATATTTATATACATTCCATCAAGGCTCATAATCGTTCCAAAATCGAGAATTCTAAATCCTGTTGTATTTTGTATTTTTAATTATTTATTTATTTATTTATTCAATTTTTTTTTCTTTCTTTTATTATTCATTTATTTATTTATTTATTTATTTATTTATTTATTCGAGAAGGAGAAGAACGACGAGAGAGTACTTGCGATTATACTTGTTTAAGGCATTATGTCGGTTCATCATCTCGATTTTTGTTTAGTAAGTTTAGTCGCCATCGTAGTCGTTCTTCGCAATTTGCATTCTCTTGGCAGTGAGCGAAGAAGAAATGGATAAAGAAGCACAGAAAACAACAACAACGTGGTGAATATATGTTTTTCTTCTTATATTCATCATGTATTATATATTTAATCATATAATATCTCTATTTTTTTTTCTTAGAATATTATTCAATCGAATCCCAGATTGATTCGCCACTTTATCGGATTTCTTGCGCTTCTTCGAGACAACACTGTGTTATATGCGTCAATGTTACTTTTTTTGTCTTTTCTTTCTTATCCTTTTGCTTTTTTTTGTTCTTTCTTCTTTTCTTTTTGTACAATTTTAAAGAGAACAAGAGACAGTAATTGGGTCGTCTCGATCATTCCTTCAGGTATCGCATATGACGCTTATAGTACACGGAGGATTCGAGAGAATTATAGCCAGGTGGGCTAAGAGAATCCGTTGGATCGAGATTTTTGGATTTATTGTTGTTTCAATTGTTGTTTTTGTTGTTGTTGTTATTGTTGTTGATGTAGGATGAGAACGAGCGTAGGATGATCGGGGGCCGAACGGTACTTCGCGCTCGACTTTGAACCGCGGCCCCGTGTGTCATACAGGCTCTTCCCTTTTGATGTTGATATTTTGCGAGGCGCAAAAGTCACGGGTAAAGGGTATGCAATTGAACAGCTTGCAGGCCTCGCAATCATAGAGAGGGACGTTGTAAAATAGAGCAAGAAGTAGAATGAATAGACTGACTATGAGTACGAGGCAAACCCAGATAATAAATATTTTACGACGTCTATCGTAATGGCCGAAAGATACGAATGGCATGAATGCGTAAGCCGCAAAGAAGCCGAAGATAAAGCCAAATAGGTGCGCATAATTGTCGATCCATGGTAAAACACCGAGTATTAATAAACCCAAGAGTATGCTGAGTAACTTGATAAGTGCTCGTCTAGGATGTTTTAGCATTTGCCAGCTATTCAGGACCTCGACGACAAATGTTGCGAGCAATGCAAAATGTGCACCAGCTGGACCAACCTGAAACAACAAAATATTTGATAATTTATTGCACTTGATTTTTCTTCTAGTCAAATGAATTTTTTCGGACAATACTAATATTATTTTATGATTACCTCTGCTCTGTAAGGAACGAATATGGCACTGGCCAGATTTCCAGCTAAAGCACCGACGAAATAGATCAAAGCGATACGCAATGAGCCCGTTAACTTCTCCAAGTCTCTCATCAAGAAATATTGAATCACCAGGGTGATGGCCAGGTGTATAATTCTGAAATATGACATGTTTCAATCCATACGATTGATTAAGATATCGAGAAATTTATAAAACAAGAATAGGTATACTACCCAGCATGAAGGAAGGTCGTAGTGAATAATCTGTAAAACTGGTCCGGCCATTCGGGATGGAGAAACGGTATCATACCGCAAACGTCATGGAGGCATTCGACTTGGGAGCACAAGGATGCTTCCTCGTGGAAATAACCACCAACAAAGTCACAATATTCTTTTGTTGTTATTCTACACATTCCATGAATACCAATACAACATGGATGTCCAATCACCTCGCAAACCATGTGCTCCGCCATTTTGTCTTTATTGACAACACCAATCGGGAAATTTCCATTTCCTCTTTGATTCAAATTTTTGCTAATAAATTTTAATAAGAATTCATTATGAAATTATTCAATTTATTATTTAATTAATGATTTCATTTTACACATACTTGTATCGTTGACTTGTTGGATTAGTTTTTCGACAGATGGGCCATTTGGTGATATCATCTGGCCATTCGTATGGTGCTATGCTCGCTGGTGCATCACAAAATTTTGGATCCAAACCACAAACGGATCCACTTATTCGTCCACCAGGTCCACTGTCTCCTGGGCCCCATTTTTTCCACGTTGATATTGTGTTCTATAGATATTTTCATTTTTATTCAATTATTATATTTAATTTTTATTGCACATTTATTTATATTATAATACTATTATTATATACTTAATTATTTGTAAAGAAAAAAAAAAAGACATATCTTAAAATTTGGGTAACATTAACATAATTCTGTTCACACTTTTACATTAACACGTTGACTACCATGCAAATAAAATGGATTATAGATGATCTACATGATTCCTCTCATAGTAAAAAAAACAAATGTCGGTCATGGGTAACCCATATGGTAGTCAACGTGATAGAAAAGATAATAATAAATATTAAATATGAATCGTGTAACGAATACATGCATAATGGGTCATTAAATTTACCGTAATTGTTGATTTCAATCCTCGGACCAGTTGATTTAGTAACAAAATATAGAATTTATATTATCAATAGGATCTTTACAATATTACCAAAAAAAAAAAAAATTAAAAAAGTATTTCAATAAATTGATTAATAATAATAATAATAATAATAATAAACGATTTAAAGGATAAAAATCAAATTGAACTCACTGAACAATCGGCTTTACTCGATTGTACACAACCGGAATCATCGTTTCTAATGCAGCAAGCAGTATCACGTTCTCTTTCTCTCCATATGTCGATCTCTTTTAATATTTTAATATCTCGACGCATACAGGGTGCAAATTTTGCACCTAGATGAATCAAATCAGCTGCTCTTGGTCCAAACCAGAAATTTGCTGGCTCTTGATAATCGACCTCTTGCAACGACAAACTCGTTACCAAAACCTGCAAACAAACAATAATATAATTAATGATGAATATATCAACAACGTCTCTGATATAAGAAATTGATTAAACTAAAACAAAAAAACAAAAAGAAATTAAAAGTACTAAAAATGTATTTCGATAGACCGAAGATGAATTTGAAATGAATTTGAAATTCTATTTAGCGTATAAATGATTCCATAAGTAAACGTATATATATATATACATACGTAGATAGATAAGCAAATACATATTAGTATATACACATACACATGGATAGAACAGAGATACAAAGGATCGTGATGGAAATGGAGCAAATCGAGGTACGACGACGTTGAATAACGCGACTACATTGAGCACCCTCATGATTATTTATAGGAAAACGATTTGTTGAGTGCACATACGATGGCACGTGCGGTTTGCATAACATTTGCAATTTATCAATTATCGCGTATAAAGTTTTATTCGTGATTGCTTGGATTAATTATATATATATGTATAGAAACGTTTTTCTTAATATAGAAGAAGACATGAATTTAATTATTAATAATTTCAAGATAAATACTTTTGTTAATATAAAATATAATTAATTGAGTTTTACTGTTTATACAATGTATTGGGATCTCTAGTACTTGAATACGCTATCTGGTGGCTAAATTCAAAATTAGAGTAGATAGGTCGAATTGCTACGTCACGCTCCTTGCCAAAGATCCCAATAATGATCTTGATGGACTCTTATAACTGTGTAAGAATTTTCCCCATTAAAAAATCGACATCCTATCAATTTTGTCAATCAATTCTTATTAGTAAAACCTAAATTAATGTTTTGGATAAAAAACTAATAATCAATGTTGTGTCAAAAATAAGCAAAAGAAAAAAAAAAGAAAAAGGCGTAAAACGTATGTATGAATAAATAAAACTTACCCTTGCCGATCTATGGTTGAGTTCAACCCCAAATGGACCAAAACCATAACACGCCAAAGATATTATCAGAATGAGAACTTGCACCGTAGTGATCCAATATGTAAAGTATGGTCTGTGATCCTCAAAGTCATCCAATTGTTTTCTCACTTCCGGTTTATTGGTTACACTCTTTCGAAAGGATCTTCTGCAAATATAAGAAACAGAAAAAGGAACAAATTTAAGGGGATTTATCTATCTATCTATCTTTTTTTTTCTTCTATTTTCTTTTTCTCTCTTCATAACTCTCTCTCTCTCTCTTTCTTTCTTTATTTTTTAGTTTCACGTCACGTTTACCACTATCATCAAACCAAACGAGTTACGGACAACGTCTCGTGACATTTAATAAAATGTCGCGGATTCGTATCAATCATTTTCCGTATCAAAGATGACATTTCCTGTCACACCGGGATCCCCATTATTATCCACCATGAAATTCTAACTTTAAACGAGTCCATTCGTCGACTCCTCGTTTATCTTTCTTCTTTTTTATCTTCTTCTTCTTCTTCTTCTTCTTCGTTTTATCTTTCCTTTCTTTTCTTTTTATTTTTGTCTTTGCTTTTTTTTTCTTAAAACGTGAAAAATATATGTTGAAATATCGTTTGAAAAGAGAAAAACAGAGGAGGAGAAGAAGAAGAATTAAGAAAAATTACAAATACCTTCATATATTATTTCTATAAGATCAATCATTATGATTGGTTATAATCAAAAATATATTACGTTAATAAATCAATCAATCAATCATAATAATAATAATAATCATCATCATCATCATCATTAACAGCATAACCATATTACATTTATTGTAATCAATCATCGTCATTGTCATTGTTACGGTTATCATTATAATCATCAAGAAGAAAAAGAAAAAGAAAAAGAAAAAGAAGAAGAAGAAGTTATCGATAAGTATAGTTATATTCGAAGTTTACCTTACAATTATAAAGTCACAATATCTTAACGTAGTTGTGTAGGAAACCAAAGTACTAACTTAGAGATCCAATTTTGAATTGGTACAAACAGCTCTTTCCATTAATATTTATTTATGCATGAGATTCTTGAGTCTCAGAGCCTTCAGAGAGGTCTTTGTTTCATAGGAAACTGTGCTTTCTCTCTCTCTCTCTCTCTTTTTCTCTTTCTCTTTCTCTTTCTCTTTTTCATTCTCATTCCAGGTACGTTGCTTAGTACATAGAACTAACTTCGTTAAACGAACGGTGAAAAGTGAAAGAGCGTTTCGCGTGAATAAATTTTCGAAAATTCGTTCTTATTTAATATTGTATTTGTCATTTAAAACTTTAAAAAAATCTAATTATTTATATTAATAATATTTATATTATAGATATAATTTTATATTGAGAAATATTTTTATAAAAATTTATACTAATTGAATTGTATTATCAATATTAAATAATTATTATCGATATTATTATAATTAATATATTATTAATAAAATTAATAATCAATAAAATATATTATCAATATTATATATATTATTATAATATATTATAATTATATAATAACTATAATAATAGTAACAAAAAAACACGATAATATATTAAATAATTATATAAATTTAAGTAAAATAAACGAACCCTCTTTATTATACTATTTATATGGATATTGAATATATATTAATAATTACATATACAAAAATAATATAATTATTATATAATAATATTATTTATATAATAATTTCGATTCGTCAAGTGTCAAAGTTTATTATAACGCGAGGATAGTCTATTTTTTTTCTTTTTTTTTTGGAAATAAATTTTTCTTAGAATATAATGAAAAAAAAAAAAAAACATACCCAAAGAATCGTCCAACGATTCCCATGCCATATTGCCGTCGATTACTATTATCGAAGACACGATCGATGGTACTAGGTGAGATTCTCGTACCACCGGTCATTTCCCTTCTCAGAGATACACCATCGTCATGTTGCATCCTTGTGTCTTCCCTCAATGGGCTGTCGTATTTCGACCTGCTCCAACTTGTTTTTCTGTAATATCTATCGTTGTAAAGCGTATCTCGTGTGCTCGAATCGTCAAAATATCCAATTGTTTTTTTTTCTTTTTTTTTTTTTTATTCAATTTTCAATTTAATGCAAACGCATCTATTTAACACGTATACAATTTTTATATAACAATTTTTATTCTTCTTATAATTATATATTATTATTATTATTATTTTATAATAATTCATGACAACGAGCACACGTGGATCTAACAATAATACGGTTGTACGTAAATTATCGATCGAACAAATTAATTTTTGTTTTGTCAATCTTTTTTTTTTTTAATTCAAATCATTTTAATGAACCATGGTATATAAAATAATGAAAAAATAATTTGAAATCGATAAAAATAAGAAAATACAACAAATCAACGATAAATGCGTGATATCAAAGTAAAATTGAATTAAAACAAAAAAAAAGTAATTAAAATAACAGATGTGTGCAGATCACACACGGTAGAAGTGAAACCTTCGAAGAAAATCAAGCTTCCAAATTATTCAATTGTAATACAGTGCCATCTATTGAAAGAACCTTACAGAACCAAGAAAATTGTCCTATGTGCTAAGTTGAAAAAAATCACTAAGTGAAATAAAATTAATTTCATTAAAATAAGTTTAAGTAGTTTTGGAATTATTACTGGACAAACATATTGTGACACTGAATTTTCATTGGTTTCACGGTTTATTCCGTTTGACGATTTTCAAATCACCCTGATTCTAAAGAAGTTTTCACTTCAATAATTTAATTTATCGATTAAACATACCTTGAAGTATAATGGTCCCTCGTGACCTGATGAGGTCTCCTAATTTGTCCATCAATCGTACTCCTTTCATCTTTTTGCTGTGCGAACCTACAAAAAAAAAAAAAAGAAAAAAAAAAAAAAAAAAACATGAATTAACTTTGATTTGTTTTTTCGTAAAAACGAAAACTAAGTTAGACTACTTGAATATTCTTCGTGATCGTAGATCGATAAAATATTGATACGGGTGAAGGATAAATGGAACGGAAATGACGGTATAAGGATACAAAAAGATAGAAGGATTGGAAGGATGAAACTGACGATACCTGACCAATTCCTCGCTCGTATCACGTTCGTTCCCTGAATCTCGAATCTCAATCTTGCTATCGACATCTTCGGCTTTAACCAATCCAACGCTGGTCTGTTCGATTTGCGTTTGGGATTGTTGCTGACTCGACAAAGCTGGCGGAGGTAATGGCGGTGGTGGTGGAGGTGGTCTTTCGAAAAACGATTCTTCTTCTTCCTGGCCGCTTTCAGGGGATGATACACCTTCTGCCCTTGACAGATACGCGATTACGCTAGGTGGAAAGCTTCGAGATTCTGGCCTAGTTCGAGATCTTTCTCTTGGACGTTGTCTTGTCATTGACTGAAATAATACAACAAGAAGAAAAATACAAATTAGATTGAACAATATTAAAAATTGCATGAATAAATTTAAAAGGATTACAACATTGTAAATGTTTTGAAAAAGTAGCAGAAGAAAATGACGCTATTTTTAGGTTATGTTAAACAAAAATTTTCTATGAACTGGTGTAATCCCTTAAATTTCATAATAATTTATTGCAATGACTGTACTAGACTTATTTAAATTAACATTATTATTTAAATGTATACATGGTATAGTTGACGATCTAATATATTTTCATTTGATTATTTAATTCATCAAAATAATTATTATCAAATTAATGTAAATTATTTTCTTTGTGCATATGCGCATAACGGGTTGCCTATCTCCAGGGGGTAGTCAAGCGCGCGCGGCTCTTTTGATTATGCATCGATAATCGGTAGATGGCATTGATTGCATGTTTTGACCGATCGATCAAAGAGAATCAAGACGGTGTGCGCGTCACGTTTTTGAATTTACAGTCGATATACAGTAGGTTTAACGTCGAATATGTTATTAAAATAAATAATGATTTTCATAGGAGATAAAGGAAAGTTCGAAGAACTTGGATCGTTAAGATAGGTTTCTTAACTACAATTAATGGTTAGGAACGCATACCCATTTTAGAGATAAAATTATGATAACGTATATGTCTCTCTCTCTCTCTCTCTTTCATTCTCTTATATCAGTTGTGTTATAGTCTTCTGTAATTCGTGGGAGGAAGTATCGTAATCATTTTCTAACGATATGCACGAAAGCCAGCAAATTACAAGGTTATGCTCGTATTCGTAGAAAGTTATCGGGTTTGATGTCGTTTTTAACGAGCTTTAAGCGCCTCTAACCGCATATCAAGCGAACTAGCGGTTATTTCCCTTTCTCAAAGGGCAGCACGATATATTCCTTTTTAGAGATTCCTCGAATTGCACGTTCTCGTACAGTAACACAGATGTACTTAAACGATAACGTTGTATTTTTCGCATTTCGAATACTTTGCTTTTCTATGGTGACTAACAATCAAAGAAAATTAGATAAAAAAAAGTGCAATAGAAGTAATTCAAGATTTTTCATTTAAACTTTGACAGATGTGAAACTACAAACCGAACTATTACATTACGAAAATAATACAATTTAAACAAAACTAAAATACAAATTTCTGTGCAACACAGATCTATCTATTTTATTATTAAACAATGATAAAAACATGTGTTTGTTAAACGTTAATAATTTTATCTTATAACGTTCATTTATTTAATCATCTCGAATCTAATTAGAAAAGACAATTATTTAAAAATCATCTCATCGTGTTAAGTGTACATACATAATAACGATGATTTCGATTATATTCATCCACAACCACCATCGTTGCATGTTAACAGGGGACAGAGGACTTCGAGTGGTACGTCCATTATAGTCACGAAATCTATAATAGTATTATCGCGTTAGCTGTTAATTTCGAGAATCCCGGAACGTCATTCATTGATATTAACTTATGAGCTTTCACGTCGATTGCCGATGCACGCAAGAGAACATTGGCAACAATTGATCGGAAGAAGAGTAGGAAGGGTAGGGAAGGAAAGGGAAGGGAAGGGAAGGGACTGGTTGGTTGGTTGGTTGGTTGGGTTAGAGACTCTCCTCTATGGTAATTTGATTTTACAATGATCGTTAATGAGCTTGCGAATTTGTGAATTATTTTATCTAATTATCTATGTCATTATTTATAAACGTGTAATGCATTTATAATCAATCTCATTATATTATGGGTTCAAGGTCCGTTAATTGCAAGTATCGATGATGCTCTCCAATAATACGATTTCTATAGAAATAATAATAATAATAATAATAATAATAATAATAATAATAATAATAATAATAATAATAATAATAATAATAATAATAGTTGTTATTATTATTATAATATAATTAATATAACTTTTTATTTAAAACAAATATTTGGATAACCCTGACTCAATAATAGGTAAAAAAAAAAAAATTAAATTTAATATTAATTAATGATTATAATATAGAAAAGTAATTTAAATACTAATGAAAATTAACCCATTAAAGTGCACATGGGGTGTTTGACACCCTCAACAAATTTGTGATCTCTCGAAAATGGTACTGAATTCGAAAAAAATGGGTTATTTGTTACGCCATCTAGTGTTGGGTATAAAACCTATTCTATTTTAAAAAAGATGTATCAAACTATTTCTAAACAAAATTGCGAGGTCTAAATAAATAGCAGCTTCAGGAGATGTGTTCAAACACGTTGGGGTGTCAAACACCCACAGTGCACTTTAAGGGTTAAAATAGACAACAAAAATGCTAAGCAATGTTAAATTTGAGGATTTTTGTAATAATATATTATTATTATTAACAATGCTCACGCATACAATGATGATGATGATGATGATGATGATGATACAATTATTATAAGACAAGAAGTAAGTTCATAGTCATCGGTTAAATATCGATTTGTTTGTTGTGTTTAAACGTGTAGAGAATTGCTACGTCCAGGTTATATTGCAATTCAGTAGGTCCCGTTTAATACCCACCACAATCGGCTTTTATCTTTCATACACATCCAAAGGTATATAAACGTAGTTACACGATTACGTTACCTACGATAGTAAAACGTTATAAATGTAATGTCGAAGTAGCATCTAAGCCAGCTTAGATCCCATTACTGATATTATCCTCTATGAATTTTGAATATTATGCCAGTATTAGATAGATATTCGATTATATACGTTGACATTTATATTTATAATTTCTAATGAAATATTTTTTTATCAAATAAATGTTATATATTTGTTTAATATTGTATTAAATATTGATTTTTTTTTTTACATTTATACTTCAATATTAGATCAGATTTTAATTCATATATTTTATTCTAATGACGAATTATTTAAATATTATTGGATAATAATATTAGAAATTTAAATCATATTCAAAATGTTGTCCTGTTTATTGCAAAAATATTAGAATCATTTGTTAAGAAGTAAATTTAGTATTAATTAATTATTTTTTGATATAAAATATACAATTTTTTTTCTAAAATAAAGTTTAATCTTTGTTCACACTTCATGTAATAAAAAATACACGAATTAATAATAATAAACATTTATAATATTTAAATGGTGATAAATGTTTGCAAGTTAAATTCAATTTCAACAAATGCAAATTGTACCGTGAAAAAATTAAAAAAAAAAAAAAACAAAAATAATAAATCGTTCTATTATATAAAAAAAATCAATTTAACCAATCATCGTTTCCCAAGTTGTCGGAGGACAAAAATTTGCTATATCGCAAAATGATTGTTCTTTTTATCAATGAAATTAATGAAAATAAATAATTTTCATAAATAAAGGAGACATATGTGTAATATATGGTGTAAGATAAAAAAAGAGAGATATAGAAACGGATAGACAAAGTTTTAACTACTGCAATAGGCAGACAAGCAGAAGTACAGTAGTGGCAGTAGATGATTGGTCAGACCATGTCTGCTTGTGACGTGTTCACTTGCTAAGTTCATCGGCATCTACTGTGTGAGAAGTTCATATACGACCTACTATACAAACACAAACACAAACACACATATATTCAAACATAAATACATATACACACACACGTTTTAACACGTACGTAGTATATAAATTACACGCACATATATGTATGTTCTACACATGATGTGTTATACATATATACACAAGTTTTGAGGATTATCATTGGGGACTAACGTAAAAATAGGAATTGTTTTGCAAATAAATTATCGATTTTATTTGTCAACGAAGTAATGAAAGATGATAGATAGATAGATAGAGAGAGAGAGAGAGAGAGAGAGAGAGAAAGAAAACCTAACGATTTGTTTAACTATCGTAAAAATAAAAAGAAAGATAGGTATAAAAAGAGAAAAAAAAAACAAACAAACAGAGATAAAAACAAAAAAAAGGAAAAAAGGGAAATTCGATACGAAAAGTTGAACTTTTTGACGTTTGTTTTAATTAACGATCCTTTGAGTGGCGTTTAATTTTAACATCAAGTAAATTTGTATTCCATTAGAACGGTTCTTTATTTATTTATCAAGATCTCACTACTCGGTACTTAGACTAATATTTGTCTTTTACTATAAGCGATCATTCTTTCTTTCTGTCTTTCATTTTGTATCATTAGAAACTTTTTGAAGCGAAAACATCTTTAGAATGGGTGTGATTTGAAAAAATGTAACGGAGCGGTGGGAGCCGATGAAACAGCCGCGATACTAAATAAGAAGAGAATACAATTATCTTATTATATATTAGATAATTTTTAAGAATAAAAAGAAAAAAATAAGAAATAATAAAGAATTAAATAAAATGTTTCGATTAAAAAAGTATAACATATTGTTTCAATTAAATCATTTCTAATTTTGTATACCATAAAACATCGTAATTAATTGTAAATGAAATAAAGAAGATATTTGAAATAGCAAGCAAGCATGACAAATATTTCAAAAGGAATTATAATGTAGGTGGTGATGGTGGAGTGTTACAGAAAGTTACAGAATTAAAGACAAGGAGAGATAGATAGATAGATAGATAGATAGAGAGAGAGAGAGAGAGAGAGAGAGAGAAGGACTATGCACAATAGTTAATTCGAAAATTTATAGATCTCGGTTAGATTCGTGCGTGCTGCATGGTGTTGCTTTTCAATTAAATACGACAAGCAGTAATTCTAAAGGAAACTATTTCTCTCTCCTATATATATAGGACGTATATATATATATATAGGATATATATAAACGAAATATATGACTGTAATAATATAAGTGTGTGCACGCGTAAGTAATACGAGATACTAATTGTACGAGAATATAGTTATCTCGAGATGGTATTATATATTTTTTTTAATTTTTATTTTTATTTTTATTTTTATTTAACGAGATATTCTCTGTGAAAACTAATTTTACTTTACTTATACTCGAAAGATCCTTGCAATCAGAT